AGACAATATAAAGTCAGGTAATTCTGTGGTTAAGACCCAGTTGCACCAGATGGAACCTGCTACTATACTAGTCTAATCTTATTCTATGGATGGATACCAAACCAAAGGTATTGTGTTTTTTTTCTTTAAAGTTTTTCAATATTCCTCTTAATTCCTTACTCTACTAACAGCAGTAATATTTGTTTGTGAATACATACATATATATATATATATATTGTTGAAGAGCGAATAATTGAAGAAGCTACTCCTATAACTGCTAAGCTCAGCAGTCAGCATTTCTCTGTAGTGTAGTTGTGGGCTAATGTTTTAGACTTCTACCGTTGTAAAACGACAAATCACAAATTCAGCTCCTTGTCTTGCGAGTTTGGCCTTTTCCTCCAAATATAATTATAAATGTTTACTTCACTTACTGGTGATAATAAAAATAAAAAAATATCATTAGGTTTTGGTCTGGAATAACACAAAAAATCAGGCAATTCCTAATTTTTCGCATATATTAGTGATTATTTATTTGTCTTGAGTAACCCTAAAATAACCACCACCAAAATGCCCCTCCCCACAGCTATCACCACTGCCTATTTTCACTACCTAAATTTACCCCAGACTCTCAACACGAAAAAAAAAAAAAAAAAGAGCCTAAAAAAATAATTTACCTAATCTTCGAAGAGAAACGGCAAAAATAAAATAATTTTGTCATTAAAAAAATCGAAAAAAAAAAGGTTTTTTTTAGGCGATTTGGAAATTTTTTGAGGAAAACTAGCCTAAAAAGGTATTTAGAAAATTTTTTAATTTCACAAATAAAATTAATATAATGACACATATTTTATTTTTTAATTAAAATTTTAAAATATACCTTAAAGGACATTATCATTTTGTTAATCTCATTTGTAGAGTTAAAAAATTATATTGATAGTGTGTTTGACAATTAATGAATAAATTTTTTTTAAAAATTAATTTTTATATATTTATTTTAAGGATTAATATTCAGTAGTATTGTATAAAATTTATATATTAAATAATGCATAATATATATATTGGAGGCAGCGACAACACTATTAAACATGCAAGGAAGTTAATCCTTGAAAAAGAACAATTAAGAAAGCTCTGTTAGATCTCTTAACGTAATTGAAAACTCCAAATGATCTAACTGATCTCCCACTCTCATTAGTCTAGGACTCTAATTCTAAATTAACATGGAGGAGTGCTTTTATGAAAAATTTGCTTCTAATTATCCTTACAAGTTTACTATATTTATCTTTAAATACATATATATATATTCATTTAAAGAGGAGCTAATTATAATCACCAGGTGTTATATATAGTAATTTCTATATATATATATAGACAGAGGTAGGCAGACAAAATTAAGATTAAAAGTATACGAGTAAATTAAAGAACCGTTAATTTTGCCAAGTTTAATTACGTAGCTTGGCATGCATGCAGATGCAGTTAAATTAATTAACCGATGGAAAAGATGATCGGAAAATTAATTAATATATATATATATATAATACATGTGTATAATTAATCTAGTACTTACTAGTCAATTAATGTCAAACCGTGCACCAAAAATGTAGTTGTGGAATAGTAAGTACGTAGAGAAAAACACATGCCACGTGGGGGGAGTGTCACATTGTCTAGCTATTAGCTACGTGCATGCTGTACTTATCGATCAATGTTATTAACAGTGATGAATGATGCATGTGCAAGTGTATTCACTCTTAACTTAAAGATTATATATTGTGTCCTTGGGGACTTCTTTTAATTGTTGCATGTGCTACTTATTATATATATATATATATATATGTAAACCTAATTAATTTATTTCTTTCTTGTTTATAATAAGATAGATATTTCACCACTACTACAACTTATTATAATTAATGTTACTTAATATTAATGTATTTACTATATATTTAATATTGACACACGCAAAGACACACACATATGTATATGTTTTTTTATTTTTCTTCTCTTGGACTGTTGCTAACTACAAAGAAATGAAATATTATAGAGTATTGGTAGTAAGTTAATAATAAATAAACAAATATATATATATAAAGAAATTAATTTACGTAGTATAAAATTTAAAAAATTTTATCCATTTTTTAACAATTGATATCAATAGCTTAATGGATGAGAGAAATAAATTTAAAAAATTAAAAAATTTAATCTCATTACTTGAATATATTAAAATTAATAATTAAAAAATATGTAAATTTTTTTTGTGTAAATATATATCGTTGGCGGGGTTGTCATTTTAATTACCAGTTAATTTCTTGAACGAGTAGAGTGATTTCTCAGTTCTCACTCCAATTGGGCCTAACAAACCAATTAGGCCCATTTGAGGAAATTTTGAATTGCAGTCCAAGCCTAAGTGAAAGAATCCAAGATGGCCAGGAAGGCCGCAGTTCACGGCATGATAGGTTGACCTAGAAAGGAAGCCCAATAAGGAGGCTTGGGCTTGGCTTGCCAACCTTCGTACATTTCCTCATAAATTTGAACTCCATTGAAAATTGGAAATTTAAAATTCGATTCGAAATCAATCGAATTTTATTTTTTTAATTTAAATTTAATTCAAAATAAAAATTATGTTATTCGAGTTTACTTGATTAACATATAAAAATAAGCTCAAATTTTATACTTCACAAAAATTTAATTATTTATATTTGAACTGAAATTTGAGTTTGAGATATTTTATTAATTAAAATAATAAAAATATATTTAAATATAAAAATTCGATTAAATTTATAAATTATTCAAATCAAATATAAAAATACTTAAATTTTATTCGATCGATGAATCAAATTACTTTTATTTAAATTTAACTCAATAATAATTAAATTAAATTCAAATTTTATTTGGATCAAATTCAAATAATTTACAAATATTAATATATAATTTACGTCTCTATTTTACTTTACAAAGCCGCAGCAAACGGAGTGTGAAATTCGGAATTTATTTTACTTTTAGACGGAGGAGGCTGGGCTGGTAATTGGGAATTCGGGATACATAGTAGAGGTAGGGTAGTAGAATTGGTGGAAAAGAAGAACAAAAATGGCGTTGACGAGGGGAGAGCCTTTGGTGACGAAGCTGGCAGCTTTAGCCAAGTACGTGTTGCTACCGGTCTCCATGGTTGCTGCTCTCATTTACTCTCCTCCCAACAAGGACAAATCCCCCAAATAAAATTCTCTTTTGCTTCTCTTTTTACTCCATTCGCTTTTCTCCTGGTTCGTGTTTACACTCTTTGTTTGTTTGTTTTTTTTTTTTTTGGGGGGGGGGGGTGGTTCTATGGGATTGCTTATACGACTACTTGCGTTTCGGCTATTAATTACTACTAGTATTTTTTGATAATTCCTCCACACCTTTTAATTATTGTCAGAAATGGATCTGATTCTGATCTCATAGGAATTATTAATCAATTTGGATATAACCTTTCTTTTATCATTTAAACAAGTTGGATTGGATTCCATAGGCCAGGGAAACCAGTGTCATCAATTGTGACCCCCCCCCCCCCAACAAGGGTGTTGTTCATCACCTCAAAATCTGAAATCTAAAGCTTCTGTAATTATTTTCAAAAGGCTATATGACTGATTTTTTTTTTTTTTTTGAAAATTTGTCTAAATACAATTGTTTAAGTTACAAGCTTGATGAATTGATACAGCTTAAAGTTTTTTTAGGAGGAAATATTTGAAGCATGAAGTTTTGCCCGTTGTAGGATTGTCTGTAACGCTATAGGTCTCAAGTGCCTAAAGGAATACAAACTTGGGTGCTTATTGAGTGTTACTTGATGCAGGAGTAACTTTATTGCTAAGGTTTTCATGCTCTGTGCCTCTTTCCGATAATGGGGCATCTTCAACGATTTCAGCACATCGTTTCTAAGTATGTAGGAGAGTTGAATGCGTTTTGTTTGCCTTTGAATTACTTTTGAGATAAGACATTATGTAATGATACAAGATTGCCCCATTAATTATAGTGTTGAATAATTTGGATTGTTGTTGTTGAATGATCATCAGTGCTCTCTGTGCTCATATAATATGGTCGCTTGGTGGATTAATTGTGTCATAATATTACTCTTTACTGGGGTGCAGAGAGTTAAAAATTAATACTTTTATTAATTTCACGTGGAGATAAATTTTCTTTTCATTTTTTTCCTTGGTCAGCAAGAGAGAGGATAGGATATTAGATAAAGAATGCGTGAAATCAGTCAAATAAGTTGCAGTATTTACATCAGAGTACTGACTGCTTCATCTTTGATCAGCAAGATAAATCCTACTGATAATTTAGACAGTTATGTACATGAACTGTAAGTTACAGGATCACAAAACATTCCAATTTTTGTTTCTAAATATGAAAGAATACTTTTTACATGGTAAAAACGAATTCCATCCGAAGCTACAAGATCGCATCAACATTCCATTCCAAGCTCACATATGATCACCATATGTATGTTCAAAAAGTTGGAAAACGAATTCATAAGATGGTCCATATCCCAAAAATAAATGGTGAAAAAAAAAAAAAGCTTCTTGCCAAACAGTGGTCAACTTGATAACATTGCATCAACAACATAATCTTATTAACAAAATGGGCTCTCTAAGCTTTTTCCTGTCCTTCAACACAAATTGACATCACCTTAAGTACAAGGAGGTGCTATAGTGTTTTAGTCTTATAAATTAGGGATATTCGTAGTATGAACAGACCAGCAGGTTGTAGCACCAAATTTTTTTTTTTTTTTTAAAAAGGAGAGATGGCAAAGAAGAAAATCATACGATAATCCTTCCCAACTCCAGGCAGAGCAACTCGGAAGAAGTATGCAACTTTTCTTGCTAACACCAACGTCCAGAACACCAATACGTGGTCTAGCAATCCGCTTTTTAGCAGTCCCATTTAAAATGTTGGATGAATCAAAAAAAAAAAAAAGGTCCATATTTGGAACAATTATGAGGGGATCATGGCACGTCCATCCTTTTTGCAGGTTCTCTTGAATGCTCCTTGACTCGCACTTCTTAACATAGGCGTGACAGGGGTGATTGCTGAGATAAGGCAGAGACTTTCAACTGGTGAATTCTCCTATTGTTTTCTTGAAACCTTGCTGACATGGGCGGAAAGGGGGAATAATAATTTTCTAGTAATTCTCGAAGATAAAGAGACGGGGAGCATTGGATTACTGTTTGATTGTATGTCGCGCGAGTCTGCATTCTGCTACTTGGTTAAATATTTTGGATAGTCATCATAATTTTTTTTTTTTTTTTTTGGGGGTTAAAGATGGTCATCACTATTCACAAATAGGAAGACCTACTTGTTTTACAGAAATGCAAATGGATGCAGTATAATAGTAAAATCCAGCTGAACTCAACTAGATCAATATCACCTTGATGGATAGTGAAACAGATGAATTCCACTAACAAAATAAGTAAATACAACAAAGACAAAGGGAAGTAAAAACTCAAACTCACCATCTCCGTCTGAAGCAACTAAAAAAATGGGCTTCCTTTCTAACTTCTAACAGCACCTTACAAGTGCAAGACCACTCCTCAGCCCATTCTAGGTATCGAGCAATCAGGTCACACGATAAGGCATCCTGGCTGTACTCTTATGCTACTTCTCTTACACAAATCATTCCTGCCTATGCTTGAATACTAACTCAACACAACAGCCCATGCCTACTACGGTATTAGCTCAAGACTACAAAGTTAAGAAGCATTTACTTCCATGGCAAGTTTGACATGCCTTGTTGTGGGTTATTGTTATTGCAGGCTACTGTGCTCTGATTAAGTGGGCTACCGGGCCCACCTGAGGATTCACTTAGAGTACCACGTGATGGTGGGCTGATAGCTCCCGTTGGCACACCACCTGTAGCAAGCTTTGGTGGGGCAGATAGAGGTTCCATCTGGTTTGCTGACTTCGGTTCCTTCCGACCGTCTGCAATAAAACTACCCACAACCACCTGCAAGGAACAGGCAGCTCAATATCATTAGCATACACACCTGAAATATAGTAATTACAATGAGATAGGCAGTAACGTATAGAAGCAAAAGTCAATAGCAGCACTAGGACTTACGTCGGTTTACATAACACTTGTAAAGCATAGCCAAGTATTTCAGAGTGGTCAGAGAGAGAGAGCTTACTCATAAAGACTAGGTTCCAGGGAGGCAATAGCCATTTCTCCACCCTCCAAAATGCCCCAGCGTTACATATTTAACACTTGACATATATAGTAGAAAATATCATTAAACTCAATCGCTTCCCCCCACCCCAAAAAAAAAAAAAAACTCTTCTTTCCTCCCTTCTCCCTTCCATAGATCCAATGACTTGTATGATCTGACCCAATATATATATATATATATATATATATATATATATATATGTATGTGTGTGTGTATGTTTGTGCATGCATATAATCATGTAAAATTCTACACACCCCATTCATCTCAAATAAATGTTCTCATTTGAACCACGCATGCATATTAGAGAAAAAAACTTTAACTTTAATCATTTGATATTTAAATTTTACGGTTTTTTTGTTGTTGTTGTGATAATAGTGTTTAATGGAGTATTAATAATAACATTAATCACAAAATACTTATCATTTTCTAGAGGTGGTAAAAATTCTAATATCATTTTTCACTATTGTTAAATTCAGAGAAACTATAGTGTGTTTTTGATTCATCTCTGTATACCTTAAGACTCTGAACAGATAGAAAATATAGGCAATATGAAATATATGTATAAAAGAGTGATGCAGAAATAAAATATGTAAAATGGTAAAAGGAAATAAACCTGAACAGGGGATGCAGCCATTAGAAGGCCAGCTACACCGCCACCTAAAACACGACCATCTGGGCCAGACAATGACACACTTAACCCTCCAGTTCTGCTCCGCTGACCACCATTTTCAGACAGAAGAAATGAACCAGAAAGTGACACAATTTCAAATCGCCCCTGCACCATTAATGTGAAAGAAACATAATGCCATTAATATGAGATAATTATAGCAAAGAGTGCTTTCTCCTTATATGACTGGAATATACCGAAAATTTAATACTAATACATTTGATATAATTGTAAACTTAACACCTTTAACTTTTCATTTGATATAAGGAAACTTCATTCCTGCTCCATTTGCATTTAATAATTAATTTGCATGAATGATTCTAACAAGTATCAAATATTTAACAGTAATTTTCTTTTTCATTCTGGAATTTATTTAGCCATTGCTTGTTGGTAGTACATTCATATAGACAGCACTATACTTTAACAAATATTATATTAATGTTTTCTTAGTTTAATGTTAATAGTTTAAACATGATATGACCATCCACCTATCCAGATTTCAATATATACCTCCTTCTCATACACCCTAAAAATTACTAACGAAAATAAAAATGCTATTTTGCCTTTATGAAACTTCTGAAGCTTGGCTGTAAAGCTCTCAATTTCTCAAGCAGTTTAGAGGTATTAATTTAAATCCTAGAAAGAAAAGGCAACAACAAAAGAAGACATTACTCTTTTAGCATATCACAAACCTCATAAGTTACAGTCCCGCCAGATGTTGCTGGTTGGCGAAGAGTAACATTTGATATGGCTCCATTTGCTGACAGGATACAAACAGCTCTGGGACCGTGCTGAGAAAATGACATTATTTTTGACGATACATCCTAAAACCAGGCAGAGATATAAATATCACCCAATCAACTACAAGTATTATATCAAGGACATAAAAATACATTGCATACGTATGTTTGCATAAAGAAGCACAGTAAAATTTAGAAAATGGTGCATAAAGCACCACGCTGCCAGCAATGCAAAGGATTATGATTCTTCACATCAAGAAAGAAAAAAACTTAATAAAAAGAACGGTATCTCCCCCTTACTATAGTTGTATGTACAGTAGACTTATTGAATTAACAAGAACTGCATTCCACCAAATTAAGGAATGTCAAAAGTTCATTGAAAATCATCATCAAGATAATGTGGCTTGTTCCCATTTTGCACTATTTTATTTTAATTTGTGTACATATTCTGAAATTGCAAAATCACAAGCATTATCAAAATTTTAACTTTACTCCATTATTTCTTTGTTGTTGTCATTAATTCCCATTGTTAGAAAAGGAATTCACCCAATTTAGCATTTTATTTTATCACATCCAAAATGCAATGAATTAATGACATAACCCTTTTCTCATGAATCAATCAAAGGCAATAATTGCAAGTTAAAACCTTAAAAAAAAAAAGAAAAAAGAAAAGAAAAGAAGTTTGGCAATGCATGACAGAAACATTTGAATCAAGCAACTAGATTAACATGTCACTATTAATAAATGGCATGACAAAGGATTTGCTACAATAGTTAACACTTGCAAATAAAGAATCAAAGTAAAAAGAGAAACTTTTCTACAGAAATCAGGAAAAGTGGAAATGAAATTTTAAAAGAGAAAGAGAAACCTCTCCAGCTTTAACAGTGATAACGTGGGGTGTAAACCCAACTCCTGCTGATCCTGCAAAAAGAAAACTCTCCAGGGTAAAATATTTCACCTTAGTAACATATATACAAAGTCAGATCTTGCTTCCAAAATTTTCGTTTTTTCTATTTATTTTTTTAGGTTCATAGAGCCATAGAATGACACGAGCTAACATTTATGCTTTATTTTGAAAAAAAAATTTAGGGAGAAAAAGGGAAAGAAAGGAACATTAATCTTCTAATAACAAGAAAGCTGCATTCATAGCTGATTAACTACAATTATTTCAGTATTAATCAGGAAAACAAACATATCTGAGAATATATATATATATATATATATATTATATATATATATATATATATAGTACTCGTAGTAGACATTAGTTGGTAGGTGCTATCAATGATGAAAACATGCATTAAAATAAGAGAAAGTGAAGATAGAGAAAAATTTGAAAGGTACAAGAGAGGGAAGAAGTAACAGAAAATGGAGCAAGGGCATATAAGTAATTCGGGGAAGATAAGAATATGAAGTCATATCGATCGGACAGAAAAGATTCCAAGTCGAAAGTCCAAACCCAATTCCAGTTCGATTTCTATGTTAAAGACACGAATGTGTACCACCTACATTTCATATTTATCTGTCATACTGATATTCTCCCTTTTTTTAGTGATACTTACTACTCAAGAGCGACCATTCCAACCTCTGTCACAAGTCAGAACACAACTAATTCTACTCCCTCAATCAACACCAACACAAAACTAAAAAACCATGATACTACTACTACTATACTATTATTATTAACTACTAAGTATTTGGCTAAAAACTTAAACTGGACTTGCAAAATCAAAAGTTTCAAATCGAACATCTCAAACATTCCCAATCTCGTCATGTATCATCCACATATATATCATACACTGCAAAGCAAAATAAAGAGAAGAAAAAGGAAAAAGCAGGAAAATGAAATCCTAATTACGACTACTACTACTACCATTAGTGGCATTTCATGACCAAGGAAACAAGACCACAAAGTCGTACATTCAGCTTTCCCAAGCAAAGACAGTCAAAGAAATTCATTAAAGATTAAAAGGATTTATTTGAGATCCGATATCAAAAGAAAGAGTACCCAGAGCTTCAAGTTGTTGCTTCTTGCCGGAACCAGGAGGTCTTCCCCTAGCTTTCTTCATTGAAGTTGGTGAAGTGGCTGATCCTCCTGAAGGCGGTGGAGGTGAAGGGAATCCTCCACTATTTGATTGGGTTACACTGACAGTGGAAGGAGCTGGTACAAGAGCCAGAGGCATGGTCCCATCAGGTCCATACTTTCTGGGCCTCCCTCTCTTCCTCTTCATAGGCTCGTTCCCCATCCCCATGCTCATGTTCAGAGCTTGAGCTTGGGTCACCGGGGGCCCACCTGTGGACCCCTCGGCCCCACCATAGCTGGAGGCCGGCTGGTATGTGGGTGAGGAGACAGTGATGGGCTTGTACACAGCTGTTCCGTCAGGACTAAAGGCTAAACGCATGTTCTGTATCACCGGCTGTGATGGTACCGGACTCTTCTGTTGCACGCCCATACTGTAGGCTTCTCTACTCGTCATCACTCCCGTCTCAGATCCCGACATTTTTCTCCTTTTTTGGTTGATGTACTAAATTTCCATACACCCGCCACTCTGCCCATGAACAAATATGAAATTATGGACCATGGTTTTTCAATTCTTTCCTATGCTCTTATCTAGTAAGTAATTCATTAGATCATGAAGCAGAGAAAGAAGAAAACCTAATATTTTAAATAGCAAAAAAAAAAAAAAAAAGAGAAATTTTAATAATATAGATGTAGACTGATAATGATTATTGTTGAAAAGGAAATCACTCACACAGTTTGCTGCACTGCAGTCTCACTAACTCCAACTTGTGCTTGAACTTGAAGTAGGGACTTTTGGAAATGATTGTATAAATTAAAAAGGAGTTGAGGGAGGAGCTGCACTAGCTTTCAAAATTCACTATAAGAACATGAGTCTAACAAGCTAGCTTACTCTTAAATTTAAATCCCAGGGTGAAATCTACATACATACAAATAGCCAAATTAAAACCCTAATAGCTACTGCTGCTCCTGCAATCCCTAAAGCCTACACTCTATTTCAGTTTTCTGACAAAAGATGAAGCATCGACCATGGGATTTCTATAATGCACAGAGAGGAAGAGACGTACAATTTTCAGAATTTCGAGAATTTACAGTTTAGAAAAATATATAAATATAAATATAAATATAAATAAATATATAATATCCCATTTAAAAAAAAAAAAAACAGAAAAAATCCAAAAAATGCCAGTAACTTACCAATAGTAAATAGGAAAAAAATCAGAGATTAAGGAGACGAAGAGAAGAGAAATTAGGGGTGGCGAAGGAAAAAAGAAGAGGCGCAGCAAACGACTTTTTGCAAAGAAATGTTGAAAAATCTGAAGTTTTAGTAGTAGAATATTTTGTTTAAAATTTTTACGTTTTTCCCTTTTTCATCCTTTATTAGAAAATGCATCTCTAATTTGCTTGCATTCATACAAAAAAGATATTTACCCTTACCCAAACCAATCTTCAACGTACTCGCTCCTTTTAAACACCCACGTAATGTACGGCTTTTAAGAAATTTCTAGTTGTAAAGCAAAGAGAGCGAGTACACTTCTGGCTGGGGTCGGGGAAGAATTTATTTATTTGTTTATTTATTTATCCTTATTCTTTTTAAATTATCTTTCTTCATCATAACTCCAATTCATATTTATATTTATATTTATAATAACAATAATAATAATAATAATTACTTTTGTTAATATTTGTACACTTGGGTGCTTTCTTTTTTTATCTCTAAATCCCAATTTAAAAATGTAAGTTAACTTTAAATTTTTTTAATTCAACCAAATTTATGGATGACGCTGGCAGGCTTGGGTTGGTGGAGGGTAGTTGGTCCATAAACACAATTATACCATAATTGAATTCTGAGACCTAAGAGTTTGTAATTATATTTAATTAATAAAATAAAATCTTGCTAATTCATTCACCCTTTTCATCACCCTTTCCTATCAACCTCTTCATGCACATGGCAAGTGAATTTAAAGGTTAAATTATTTATGTCTTTGGTTGTTGTCTGGCTGACTAATGGTAAGTGAATTTGGAAAAATGAAACTAGGTGGGATTTTTCTTTTTAAGTAAATAGTTGGGAGTCAAAAACGTGTTGAGAGACGAGACTGTTGGCAAGGTACGGAGGAGAAGCTTAAAGCAGTTGTTCAACTTATAAGATTTTGGATAGAATTTGTGTCAGAGACAGATAGCATCTGGGAAGTGGCAAGGATAAATGATATTTTTACTACCAGACAGACTACTTACTCCAAAGAAACAAAATGCATCTGACATATATAGTCATAGCAGGTTTGTTAAATGCAAATTTGGTCGCCCACCGATTAGTAGAATCATTTTATACGAAGAGAAAGACATCTGCAGTAATGGAGCAAAGTCTTGTGATTTTTCTGATTACCAATTCTTAAAAATGAACCATTATTTAAGTCAGCAAAATAAAAATAACATTTTATTATACTTGGAAAAACCCATCAAAAGAGTTTTTTTTTTATTTTTTATAAGGAACACTATTCATCCTACTACTGCATTTCTTTTGTATAATAGTATGTATATATTTTGGTACTACTTAATAAGATTTCCGGGCTTATACTGATGATGTGAATAAGTTCAAGATTATTATTACCCGAGGTCTGTGACTATTTCCTAACTTTACATGTTAATTTGCATCTATGAACATTGGAAAACCAAAAGTAGAATTAGAATATTATTCAAGTTTCTGGGAAATGCCTGTTCAACTTACAGAATTTGGATCTGCCGATAGGAATGATTAGTTCTTCATGCAGATGGGGAAGTGGGAGCTGGTGAACCAAATGGATTCAAGTCCATTACTGCTTTCTACCCAGAAGAAGCCTCCAACTCAAATGGTTTATAATCAATCTAGCAGTTTCCTGGTAGTGCCATCTTTCCTTCATTACAAGAAAATAAGTCTTTTAAATAATTAACGGTGTTTATAAAAGATATTGTTGAGAACATCGACTGACTATATTTGCGTTAAAAAATTTAACAATATTTTAAATATTTTAAAATCTAACTTTAAATGACTTTATAAATTATTTAGCAGCATTTCATAAAACACCTTGATCCATCGATCAAAAAGTATTTCATTTAACGATTTTTTAATCAACAAACACGATTAAAATTTTAGAATTTTACCGTGTTTATAGAAATAAATGTAGCTAAATTTCAATCATTTAGAAATATTTGTTGCTATAAATGCCACTACATTTGTGAAGTTTATCCGCATTTGTAAGAATAAAAGCCACTAATGTTTTAATTTGATTTTTTTTATATAATAAAAATTAACATTTAAAATCCATCATTTGTTAACATTTATTACTACAATTGTATTAAACATCAAAACAAAACATTGAAACATATAAAACTTAATTTAAATTTATAAATATTTAAATATCTAAATAGTGGGCAGGCAATTTCCTTAAAATTCAAAAAATTCTCCACTGGCCATAGGCCGATAGCCTCCAGAGGCAAAATAGAAGGCGATAACATGATTAAAAAACATCTGCTTTTACATTATCCACCCCTTGCTCTTCACTTTCCAGTGCATAACTTCTACGAAATGAAAGATTGAGCTGGTCAATAAAAAGTAGATTCTTCATGACCTCCAATTGTTGCCGCTCTTTCTCCATCTGCAAATCCACCTCCTCAAAGTGAACAAGCTTATCTTGGATCTCTTTCATCTGCAAAACTTGGGATATTCAGTACATAATTTACAAATTTAACGTCCTGCACAGTAGACACTGATCTCAACCATCTTATATACCTGCACTTCTGTAATCCCAATGATTGCTCTTTCAATGTCTCCTTCTTCCTTCTCAAGCAGTGAATTCACATCTACATACGTTCTTCCTGGTGCATTTAGGTTTGTGTCACCATTGGATGAAATATCTGCTTCTGCACCAGAAAGAAATAATGCCTCGGCCAAATGCCAGTCTCAATTAGAAAATTTCAACAGTCAGGACAGCCCCTCTTTTTAAAGGACTACGTGCAGATAATGTTAGAGATCTGTCTTATTTATTTATTTTTATTTTTTCTTCAGGGTGTGGACGGCTGGGTGGGAGCATGTTAAAATGTAAAACCATTTGGAGCCAACTCTTATAAGCTGCACATCAAATGTGAAAATGGCCTATGACTACCACAGGCACTGTTATCTGCCATCACGTGCAGGGATATCTAATCCAGATTAAAATCATTAGTCAGAATGCTCAGAGTTGCATATTAATAATTAATCAACCATGATCCCTAAATGCATGAAGTTGCTGTAAAACCAGAAGCCATTCATACCTCGTCTCATGTTTCTTGCAAGAGATCCACGACCCCCTTTGCTAGCAGTGGTGTCATGCACCTCAGATAGAGTGGTAACAGCTGCTCGGGCAGCAGCCTCTGCAGCCTCTGCACCAGCCAAAGCTGACAGAAAAGCAGCCTGAAAAAAGTTGGAAGCTACAACCATTTATTTCTAAAAAGAAACAGCATCAACAATATCTGATAATTGATGTTTTGGAACAAACGTAATATCCATTTAGTGTAACAAAATCAATGCTTGTAATAATTTGTTGAATCTTGCATACAACTAAAAATATTATGCATTCCTATCCCCTCAAAGCACTGACATAATGTATATCAGTTAAAGCCACAATTTGCAGAACATCAGCATCAGAATTATCTTAATCCATTCCTCTCAGTCTCAGAGACATAATGGAGTGAGACAAAAATAAGAAGCACACCCACACTGACACAGCAGTGCAGACCAGGATGTGAAAAAAATGATGGTTTAGTGTATGTTGCCACAAGTTAATGCAGGAACTTGAGATATTCACTAGAACCCAACAAACTCTTTGAATTGTAGCATTATCTTGAGCTTCATTGCCAGCCAGGCAGTAAGAAATCATAATGAAGATTAAGGCAGCACAAAAGTAATGTGAATTTGAGTCCAAATATTAGCTTAGCAAATTACCACCTCATTATCCTTTATGTTTGAAGTTAAACAAAAGACAAGACATACCTGAGCCATGATTGGGTTGCTTGCATCAGCAAGAGGTGTGAGGTGCATCCTTTTATTAGTTTCAAATACAGATTCAGTTTCCTTAGAGTATGGATCACCAAGAAATTCCTCCCCAAAAGGAAGCTTAATAAATCGGGCGACGCAATCCTTGTCAGTTCTACCACCAACATGCTGTGCAACCTTCTTCCAGTCATCACCATAATGCATAAGGGCTTCCAGAAGTAGCAATGTCTCTTTTTCCGACCAATCCGCCTTGGCTTCATCAGAGATCTCTACCCGCCTAAAATCAGCATTGCTGAGACCAACCCTAAAGTTTCCCCGAACATAGCACCTTGCACAAAGGGTGGAGTCATACTGCACGAAAAAAGGGGATTCTAAAAGTCGGCAGCTCAGGATACCAAACTCAAAAATCCCAACAATGTTTTTTTTTTCAAAGCTTCAAACCCTAAAACATGTAATCTAAATGCAAAAAGAAAATCACATCATCTGGATAGTTAGGGCAGATGCATATCTGTAAAGTTGTCGGCTTTTTTTAATTGCAAGTAAGAAAATTGATATAAAGACCTAAGAATGAAAGGAAATACTAATAGAGAAGGTAACGAGATGTGCTAATAATAATAATAGAATAATGAGAAAGAAGGGAAAAGAGAGACCTTGTCGCAAACGAAGCAAGCAATGGTACAAAGAGATTTGCAAGCGCCGCAGAATCTCCTAGAAGTAGAGGAGTTTTTGGAGGTGGTGGCAGCAAAAGAAGGAGATTCAAGAGAAGGGGCATCTGCGGACTTATTATTATTGGCAGTATCTTTGGTGGGCTTGGAGGGAGCGGAGGAGGCAGAGAAATTGATGAGCCCCCAGACGTCAAGGAAATCGAAAACCCTTCGAATGGAACCAACGTCACCCACAAGAGCCCTCCTGGCGTCAGTGAAGCTAATCTTCCGGGAAGGATTTTCCCTGAATAGCTTGATGATGGAGTTCCTGTAATATATGTAAAGATTAGGGCCTTTGGAAGGCGAGCGACCGTCGAAGAACTCTGGAAGGAAACGGACCTCGCATGAGTCAATCTTCTCCCATGAGAACCACCCTATTTAGTTTACCACACCAAAAATCAGCAACAATTAACAAAAAGTGACTGTATAACGAGTTGGGGGTGGGGGAAGTAGGTTAAGAAACGAGATGCGCTGCACTTACGGGAGTGGCTGGGAACGTGAATGATGTCAGCATCGATGGAGGAGGGTTGAGATGGAGGTGGACGGCTGGTGGGAGTGGGAACGGGAGTGGGAGTGGGAATGGAGGAGATTTCAGACTTGACCGCTGGGCTGGTGAATTTGGTCGAAATTTGGGGAGGTTTGAACTGGTTGGGATTGGGGATGGGTGTAGAGTCAGAGGAGGCTGCTTTTTTCACCGGTGATTTTCCTGCCATGCTTGCTTTACTTCCTTAGCTCCTTTTTCTTTCTCTCTGTCCCAACTTTGAGAATGGTTGGAGGAGTCTATACTTTCGCCCTCAAATTAGTTATATTACTTACTAGAAAAGCTACAACTACCGCCGACCGATAATCTAAATTATTGCCTTTTCCTTCGTGTACAAGGTTCTTTTTGTTTTTTCTTTTTTTTCCACTTTATTATTATTATTATTATTATTATTATTACTCATTCTGTTTGTAACGACCGGGTAACAATTTTTTTTTATTACTAATATTAAAAAGAAAAAAATCACACCTTAACTATATGGTATGATGCAATATTAAATATATCATATTATCCTCTAAACGAGATTAAGGTTTTAACTCTTCATAATTATGGTAATAATAAGGAGTATATTATATATATATATATGGCATGTGCTATAAAGTTGAATGTATTAACTCAATAATTGGGTTTTCTTCATCCTCGACTCCTATGCCATGATTCTATAACTATACCCATTCATTCTGAAGATTTAAACCAAAGTCCCCTATCATCACTTATCCTTGTGTCTTACCAAACCAACCGCCTCTGCCCGCTGACCCCCACATTTCCACTTCTTCACCTCTGCAAATACTTACCACACACCATGCGATTGGAAATTACCTAGACCTCCTTCCCCTTCTCTAAAATTATCTGTAAAATAATAATAATAATAGCACTAAGAATAATTTGTACACACAACGTTTTTTTCCTTTTTTTTTTTTTGGGTCTTTTCATTTGATAGAAAATGCATTCCGAGCTTCCTCCATGCTTTGAAGTCAAGACTCGTAATCATTCATAAAATGCTTAGTTTTTTTGTGTCCAATGCGGCCGCCCCCCCCCACCCCCAACTACTAATTTGCACAAAACTAGAGAACCACGTCTACATAAAATGCAGGACACCAGCCGACACCAGCTACTATCTATACACCCAAATGCTGGGACTAGACCATAAAAGAATCATTTGTTAATTCTACCATATATTTCTACACCATTTTATTCCTACATTGTTGCTCGAAACCCATTCCAGCAACCATCGATCCATGACTGCTGGCCACCCAACCAGAGCACCAGCAGTATATGTGGTTTTTGATATACCAAGGTAAAACGAAGAGCTTTCTGCTTCCTCCATATTGCTTCTCTACCATCTGGACTGACTCAGACAACATGACTTCTCTGGTGAGCATGACTACGTACGACCTGCACAAGATAAGCGTGGTAAGGCCTTACCCCCCTCAACCCCACCCCCCTAAAAGGAAAAAAATTATAATTTAAGATACAGTACTAACAGCTTAACTGAAGAGGAAAACTTTTAACATTAACAGCAACATTATTGATTTTCCCAATTGTATAAAACTTAATGGAGATAAAAATAGTAAAAGTTGTAGTTGTTCAAACCGCACAGGTTAGATAAAAATGTTTTTAAATGATTGCAGATACATAGCATGCAGTTTTTCAATCTCAAACGACCCCTCACTTTACTCACAAAGAGAAGTAGGCAACATGTATCTATGCAGTCTATGTCAAGCTAGTTTGCCTGAGCACTTACAAACACTTTCATTCCATTCTACTCCCTTCAGTTCTTCAAACAATCATTATGATACTTCTACTAGTCATGATCTTGTTAAAAAATTTCACTTCTTCAATCTTAGAACAAGCATAATTGAGTCATTTCAATAGAAAAACATGTCATTAAATCTCAAACAGAATCCATTTGAAAGAAATCAGAAGGAAAACCAAAGAAAAACTTGGAAGCTCTAAATGAAAATGTATTCATATCAAATGTTGGCAATTATGCACTGAATGATAAGCCCATCCCAGACCTGATTCCTAAAATGGGAGTGACAACGTTTCATTTGTTTCCTCTCCATTATAATTTTTGGTTTTTGAACATTATGCAGGAAAGAAAATTAATTGTATCTGTAATGCAGAATGAAAAACTCATAATACCTGTAGAATGCAAAATAAATAATTTGCAAGGCTAAATCCGAAGCTCGCCACTCAAGTAGCAGTTCTGCTGGTCTTAGTCCTGCTGCAATCTAAGGACACCTGAAATAATGAAAAACTCCAGTCAGACTTAATACCATAGCAAGATGACCATGAAAACCTAAGAACTTAATTCCCCCAAGATGATACTAATTACCTTGATCAACTCCTCACCCAGTTGTTTGGTTAGAACCGCTACCTTGCATAAACTGAGAAGGAGTATTAATTATAAACTTTGGCTGCGCTGGAACAGGTGCTGCTATACCTGATAAATAAATAAACTTGGCTCATAAGTTCTTCTATGCATTGAATTAATACCATAAAATCATATTAAAACAACAGGGCCTGCTTCAAGGTTCTTTGAAGGTGCCTTTTAGAATTGATGAAGAAATAAAGGACCGGAAATTCATTCAAGATGGTGCATCCCTTTCTCTATGCTTAACAAAGGGATCCATTCTCTGTATGTTTTCTAGTTCAAATAAATTCACTCATGGATAACTTCTTACAATGCAGATCAGAAAGGACTTTTGATTAAATGAAATATAAAGACAGAGATGTACGGGTCAAGATATTGGATAGGCTGAATTGTTGACAGACAGAATTAAGGAAAAAAATACAAAGCCAGTAACATAAGCAAGCACAAAAAGATAATTTTTCAGATTGATATTAACCTCCAGGATATGGTGTTTGGATTGTGGCCATTGGAGAAGTGGTGATTGCATTAGCACTTGGGCCACCAAACTCCAGTATTTGATGACTGGGCATTCCAAATCCCTGTACTGCTGTAAAACCATGTCTGCTTGGAACAGTTTGACCCAATTGTCCATAAGGATAGATAGCAGCATTAACTGCTCCAGGTACTCCATCTGCCTGAAGGTACTGCAGAGCCGCATAAGGGTTGTAAAGACCCTGTCCATAGAATGATAGCACCAAAAAAAAAAAAAAGAATATATCCGCATCAGAACATAAGCATTACTTACTCTAACGAAAGTTAAATAAGATTTTTCAGAACATTGCCCTTTAGAATGCCATTAACCTGTGGATAGACATATTCAGTTCCGAATGTTGCATACCTGCATAGGTTAAACAAATATTAAAGATTTAAAAAAGTTAGAATTTAAACCAGGAATTAAACATTAAATTTTAGAGTGTGAATTTAGCAAGGAAATAAACACGATGCTATTCACCAAATCAGAACAATCCAGTTTTCCAAGTGAAATAACAGCATGCTCTTATGCTATCAATGAGCCATACCAAGATAAGGCCCAAAAATTCAATACTAAAAATCGCAAGCCTAACTACTCAGCCCATGGGAATAATCAAATCCCCCATACTCCCAACATTTCTTTTTATTTTTGATCCTTATCAAATCACAATCATGATCTTGCCTGTTCAATAAACATTGAGCTTGGGCACATATCATCCGCAACTACCACTTTTTGCATTCCTGCAATTACCAATCACACCATGTCATATGACTATGCCTTGGACTAATTAATCCTGAATTCTAAGGTAAAGATTAATGACTCCTTGATAAATGTTACATGTTGTGATTGGTTTGAACTGCCATGAGACAAGGACAACAATAAAAAGAAGAGAAAGTAGCTGCAAAAGGAGATGTACCCAACTGAACTCTGACTAGCAAACTTTCCATGCGGACCCAACTACATTGTAGGTTGATGGGGCGGGCATATAGACCAAACAACCATATTTATGCTAAGGCTACAGCCTATTCCTCATAAATGAATAAAGAATAGATGTCTCTGCACCTACTGATTATATATGTGTGAAAACATTTCAATCCACACATGATAATATTTTAAATGAAGAAGAAACTTTAATAGAGATCTGCAATGAAAAATTACCAAGACAGAAGCCAAAAATGCTTCAACCTAAACTTGACCGTTCTTTCAATTCCAAGTTGTAAATCCCAGGAAATTATCAGATTACAGACACAGATAAAAAAGTGTCAGTCAAGAACTTATATCAAAGTCAATTCTTGGCAAAATCCCAAGAAAAGAAACCTAATAAAACAAGATCTGATAAATTATCAGGTATAAATCATAAAAACTAAAATTTGATGCTAAAACAAGCCAAGCTTAGTTGAATCAGGATTGGAACAATCAACATAATTAGAAACCAGAATCAGAAAGCAGAACTCACCTATAAGAAGGGTACATTAATCCTTGTTGATAGCTGTAAGAAAGAGGTGACTGGTAGCCAAAACTTCCAACATGAGCCCCTCCTGTGGCTTGCATACCTTCAATGTAAGGAGAAGCTGGTCTCAAACGTCCTATTAGAAAGATAACAAGGGAAAAAGTAATTAACATGATCATTGATGTTGAAACAAACTAATTGGAATAAATTGAAAATTAGTTCAGCAGTAAGTATGATGCCATCAAATTATAAATTGAATGGAAACAAAAGGCAGCCACCCTACAAATTGCTACTAGATGCACAAAGATTTGGGCAGGATAAACCATAAGAGACAGACTTTTGGCGTAGGAAGACAGTTAAATGAAAGACTAATATTACTGATGAGAGGGAAAAATTGAATCATTATGGATGAGAAGGAAAATGAAAGCCAAATTTAAAGCTATGTTTGGATAAATATTAATAAAGGAAAGGAAAAGAATGGAAAAGAAAGTTTTTTAAAGGAAAGGAAATGATATATGTAACCCTTGTTTGGATAATTAAAATTAATAAAGGAAAGGAAAGGAAAGGGATTCTAACAACCATTGTTTGGATAAGGAGTGAAAAATGATTCATTATAATAATTTTTTTAATTATAACATTTCATTGCCCGTGATTTTAGAGCACTCATGGACCATGATATGTTTGCTATCTTATCCGACCTCACAATTACTACTACATCAATGGTTTAATCAAGTAAAATAGGAAGATATTTTAAAAACATGCATTGATGGATTTTGAGCTAGTCTGTCATCTCATAAACCCAAAAATATATCTATTCTTTTTTCAACCATTCATTAAAATCAAATCACCAAAAAATTATAAAAAATTTTTATATTGGAAGAGATATGTGAAACTTACTTGAAAACAGAGATGACTTTGAAAAAATTACAAGATAATTGTGATCTTCTTAGGTTTTTTTATTAGGTTTTTAGTATTAATAAAAGGATAGACATAATAGTCCTTTTATAAAAAAAAATATTTTTCAACTTTCCTTTCCCTAGCTTTTCCTCTAAATTAAGGTATTAAAAAAATTGGGTTTACAAGGAAACCAAAGGTTATTTGATTTTCAACTCTTTCCCTTTTTTTAAATTAAAAATTTATCCAAACAAAGAAAGGGGGGTTTTGTTTCCTTTACATTTCTTTAGTTTACTTTCCTTTCTTTCCTCTCCCTTCAGTCCAAGCACATTGTAAAGGAATGGCAAATGTTGGGTACAAATAATGTTACATCTAGAAGACAATAGTCGTCCAGAATGTGTTATATTAAGGGACAAAAAAATGGAAATAGCCTGAAAGCATTAGCTGTAAGATTAGACTAACTGGACGAATTAGAGATGATATCATTATACCGTAAGGATCTGGAGGTCGAGGTCGGCCAAGTGAAGCCAAATTACAATTAGCACGTCGGCCATCAATAATTGGAGTCGGATCATCACAGGCTCTCCTCGCAGCATCTGGATCCCGGAAAGTCACCTAAACCCTCCATGCAAAGACAAGAAGAAACCAAGTCACTCTAAAGCCAATTCATCCACGTTAGCTGGAGCATCAAAGGCATGCCGCCATTGAATTCATACCAGTTTGTAATTATTTGCATATGAATAACAATGATTGTCAAATGCAAAGTAACATAGTATCATCAAGCAGCAACAAAGATAGAGAAATCTTAAAAAAGAAGAAAAAATATTAACACTCACAAAACCATATCCTTTGGAACGGCCGGTATTCTTGTCGGTGATGACAACGGCCTCCAGAATTTCGCCAAACTGCTCGAAATAGCGGCGCATCGTTTCGCTTTGCGTTTCCCAAGCCAGTCCCCCAACAAAGACCTTGGTATATGTTGTGTCTCCAAATGGGTAATTCATGTATTGAAAGCCAGCACTCGAACTCGAGCCGAAGCTGGGACCAGGAATCGGCTGATACGCCATGAACCCAGATGACCCTATTCAAATCCAGCGATATTAAGGGTAAAGGAATATTGTTCAACGGTGAAAAGAGAAAAGGTGACGAATACAAGTGATGACCCCAGAATATAGAGAGACTAAAAAGGCATAGTTTTTAATGATAAAGCCCTAGAAAAACCCTAGAATTGGAGGGAAGGAAATATACCCAGAATCCATTGGGATCAAGGGAACTAAAAAACAGGGTTGGGGTTGGATTACTTTTACAGAAAAGCAAAAGATCAGAAAGCGCGCAAGAATCATAATAAAATGAAAAGGGAAAAAAGAAAATAATAAAAAAAAAAAAGGTGTGGGGGGAGAACACTGAAGATCCCCCAGATGGGCCAAGAAGGGGTTGAAGTCAGTAGTGGGAGTGGATGGAACATGCACTCTGGGTGTGGGAGGGGAGTGGGCTTTGGGTTGGGCTCTATGGTCTATGGGTCTATACAGACACAGAGAAGAAGATGGAAAAGAAAAAGGAGTTTAGTTGAAAAACCTATCACTAGTGAGTATTATCTACACCGTAACAACCCGAAGTAGAAAACAGAGAATGACTTGGCACTTGGCAGGAGAATGCGTAACAGTGTAAAAATGATTCCAAATGAGAAATTTACTTTATTAATTGAAGTTGTTTTCGTTGTTGAGGAGACGGAGGAGGGGAATGAGAAGAGGGGTCATCATGATCTGCAGCCGAACAGATTAAGAAAAAGAAGAGAGAAACAAGAAAAAGCAGAGACCCTGTTGTGTTGGAGAGTTTTCAAACAAAGCAAGACAGCTTCGGAGGGTGCCAACGTGGGACCTACCACATCTCTCTCACTCTCATCTCTAATGACTAGATGCTATTCTTCTTCTTCCCCAATCTTTTCTTTTCTCCCGCACTCGTTTTAGTTAATAAAGTTTTTTACTTCACAGTAACACTTGCGAGCACCAATACCAACTAGGCTCGTAGTCATAAGCTGGAACTGCTGCTGCTTCTTCCTCTCCTCATTCCCAATTCCCTTCTATTCACTTTCTCTGTTTTTCTATTGTCTATCATGATCACCACCAAGTTAAGACTTACTCATGAAAGGGACGATTTTTTGTTTGTGCCACCACATTGACGCAAGAAAGACGACATTTTCGGCTGCGTCTGTGTGCCTTCCATATTTTTTTTCAACACATTTTTTTTTGTCTAAATTCCAAAAGCGAGGCTAATTTTATTTCGAAATTCAGTACACAATCTCACTGGCCACTTTAGCACAATGATAACTACCATGCTATGCTTGATCAGGGTTTCTACTTAGGCCTTTTTCATTTTAAATACTCATTCATTGTGGATACCAATCTTTCTTTCTTTCTTTCTTTCTTTGCTCTTTTTTTTTTTTTTTTTTTTTTGAATGACTATAAATGGGAATGGAGAATATATGAACTTCAGGACCTTAATGACAAAAATTGCGAAAAAAAAAAGTCTACAATTGCCTGCACTTTGCAGGGCGTTAAAGCTTCGTTTTAGTCCACTTCTCTTTGCATACTCCGAAAACCTTCAGTTTCTGATATAGTCTTGGAAAGCAGTACGGGTTGCTGAAACTCAGTTATACCAAGTAAAAGGAAACAAAAGTTTAGAAGACCTCTACTTGCAAATAGTGACTATGCCTATCCGTCCGAACAGAATTCATTGGATACAAGGAGTAGTGCAGTAGTAAATCTAATCAATTAGTAAGTTAACTGCTTTGCAAAATTCCAAGTCAGACAAGCACTCCTCTCGTTGATGACTTGACCCTTTGGCCAGTCAGGGTTCAGCGCAATAGGCCCAATGGATGACACAACCACGAGCTTCCTAACCTCTGTCTTCAAACATGCATCGACTACATTTCCTGTACCTCTACCTGCTGGTTCCATTAGTTCTACATGCTCGGTGAATAGGATCATGATGGCCATTCGCCCTTGTATCAAAACCGTGCAAAGTCACTCTCTCTTAGTCCAACTTCAACTTTTTAATCATATAAAAAATCACCAGTGTGAACAAAATGGATGGAGGGGCGGCCTATTTGTTCTTCCGAATAAAAACATGTTATCAAGAATCAAAGTCTGGGTCCAAGAGGAAAAAAGTCCAAGGTGCAAATCCTCTATCCATCCATCCCATGGAGTCTCTCTTATGTACCAAGGAAGGAATAAAACCATGTTCTACGAGAGAGACGTCTAGGAGAAGTTCAAACTATCCAATAAATGAAAAAAAAAAAAAAAACACTGGGAGAAGTAAATTGGATTAACACTATGAACCAACAGTTTACAATTGGATTTTAGACTTTTTGGCACGGTGAAGTAGACATTAATTGCAGCGAGGGTGGCAATAGACTAGCTTTGGGCTTCAATGAAGAGCGTGTTGTTTAAGGTTTAGCAGCGTCCATTACACCCGCAACCTTTCCGCTTAAAGCATATACAGGGAGAGTATATGTAGCAGCTTATTGTGGGGTTACTTGAGAGTTTGTTAGTTCGCATGCCATGGTTTCATAATGGGAAGGGGACGGGCTGAGAATTCAGGAAAAACAAGAAAAATTAAGAATTCAGGTTTTATTTTCTTTCATATATATTAGTTCCTTCGCGTAAGATGGTTGCCGAATTGAAATATATATATATATATATATATATATATATATATGAAAGGGTGAGCTTTACTTACAAAGATACAGTTCAATTTTTTTATTATTCCATGATAATTAAAATCAGCTAACTTTTAATTATTGGCATGTTCTTTGGGGGAAAAAAATCATTGGTTATTAGATGTGAGATTTTTTTTCCCTCACACACTAAGATATCGTCTGCTTTGAGTGCGCATGAGCTTCGTCACGGTTATCTGAGAAAAATACTTCAATAAACCTTAAAAAATTTTAATCCACTGTTAGATGTAGAATCGTTCACTGTTCAACAACTATAGACTAATTAACCACCTTAATTTCCATGACTCTGCAGAGTACTCCAAGCTCTTAGACAATATGAATGATGATAATAAAGAAACTTAATTTCATGATGGATGTTGAAATTAAGCTTATTAGTTATCACTAACGTGTGAGAAATATTTTATATTATATATCTAAATTAAAGATGAGGATACAACTTAATTTGGTAATATATATTATTATTGTACTTATTATTATCATGATTAAAAATTAATTAATAAATAATTTTTAATTTTTATTCACGTGAATTCAATCTCTTCATATATAAAGAATTAAAATTTTACGTATTTAATAAATCATATATATATATAAATGGATACGTAATATTAAGTGTACATATAATAACGATAATAATGTACTGAAAATTAATTAATGTATTCCTTTGTGATAAATTAGGGATCCAAAACCAAAATAGATAGAGATTGTGAAATTTAGTAGACTAGCATTGGGATCATGAGCAATTGTAACGCTGATAAATTATGTGGTTGGGGGCTGCTCGTGGCGTCAGGTCGAGTTGTTTTGATGTCTGCATCATTTGCCAATGCAGTGTTTGAGAGGTCGCATCTGGATGATGATGATGATGACGATGGTGATGACAAGGGGACAGTGCAGCTTCAGCATCTCATCAATCACAGATTTTCATTTGTTACTGCAATACACGGTGTAGCCAATTACATCAGATTCATCAATCATCAACGATTAAACGCCGCAAAGTTGATCAGCTTAAATATATCAACCCACTCAATTTTTGGCCTTCAACAACTCCTCTTAAGGATTAAGGAAGAACAGTAAAAGACCGGCCTGGATTCTGTACTTTAGCCGCCCTCTATGTTCTTCAATTCCATTTATCAATGCATTCTTCATTTCTTTTTTAATCCAACTACACTAATCATTAGCTACCTACCAACAGTAAGCTACCGTTACCGCTAAACTGATGATATATAGTGTATTAGCATACATGCATACATACATACACACATACATAAAGAAGAAAACCCAACAACCAAACATAGTGCCACTCAGTCGATTTTATATATGACTTCTATTCTATCTATAATAATAATAATAATAATAATAAAATCAAGACAGAGTCCACAAAATTATTTGCAAGGCTCAAATCTTGAATTTACCAAATCTCCATACTCACCTCGACGATTTGATCAGATTTTTAAAATGAACATAAAAATTAACTTTCCTTCACACGGTGCTTTTGAACTTGTTCAATAGGACCAACAATGAGCCAGGAAGGAAAAATGCAACCAATTCCACAATACCATGTTTACTTCTAATTACATCCCTCCCATGTGATTTTAGTGCCTCAACTAAAATTGATTTGAGCGAACTAATCTTAATAACACAAGCGTCAAACCGATCCTTGCTCAAAGGGGACACGTACAAAGAGTCGACCATGCAAGCTAACAACAGCAGATGTTTGAAGAGGATCAATTCTTGCAGGTAAGGTCACAACCTGTAAACCACACCAAATGAGATCAATAAATCTTTTGCTCTGTTCCCTATTGTTCTGATCGTACTTCCAGTTTTCATGACCCACACAGAGGTGGCCATCAAGTAGTAAATCCCAACTTTTTCATCTAGAATATGAAGGTCAATAAACTAATTATTGCTTCAAAGAAACTAAAGCAAATTAAGAACACCAGTGCCCAGCAGAGAGATAGGATGCCTCCTATTTTCTATATGCTCGCACTATGTTCTCAACCATATACTTGTGGTTCTGGACCTGGTTCTAGAGAATATGTGAGCTCTTTTATTTCCTCGGATTATTAGGAATAAAAAGAAATACCTTCTTGAAGGGCGTGATACCCCAAGGATTGTCAACTTGCTCCGGTTGACCTGTTATAACCAAACGTCCAGCAGGATCTGATTGAACTCGAACCTACATCCACCAAAAAGCAAGGCAAGTTTTAAATCCAGGGGAATAGGGTCACATTTCATAGAGATTAAAGCAAAATGTATTGAGAAACGTTAAGCATATTTTCTATTCACAAGCTTATGAAGATTCAGTCACAGAATTCAAAGGACCAAAAACTTTCCATGTATTAGAAGGCAGGAAGAAAATTATTTAAATCTCAATCCTCTCCATAGCTTAGGAAGAAAATGGAAATCCAAAATATCTTGAGATATCATTCAACCAAGTCTTACAAATCTTTGTAACTAAAGTGGCAAGTTTGTAGACCTCCTTTTACTGATAACGAAACCAGTAAATGATTACAAAAACAAGAGACATGCATTTTTAATATACTTATCTACATGATCAACTGCAAATACTTAGAAGAAATATTATAGGTTGCAGTGCCAACTGTTAAGGATCATATCAATTGTTTATTAATCAGTATCAGGCCATTTAAAAGGGATTTCAGGACAACAGCATACCTCCTCACGCAGGAGCCCAGGGACCAGAGCATATACCTCAAAGCAATCCTTCTGTGCATTTTAAGGACAGTGAAACTACTCAGAAATGAAATCCTAACACAAGTTACTCAGAAACTGGTCATATTCAAAACAATATTTATCATAGCTTTTTCTCTCATTGTGTGAACTGGGTAGGGATTGGGGGCAGTGTCTAGTAGGAGAGAGAAGCAGAAACAAGGGATACTTACAGATTCACGCACATTGATCTTCACCCAATCAGCAGGGGATCCAACATCAACAACTTCCGTGGCCAGTCTACAACATGAAAAATTGCATTGGTTAGAAAATAGTAGAAAATGACAATCAGGTTCATTTGAGAATGTTTAAGATTTCTTCACTTTTTCCTTGGCCCAACATCCCTCCTCTTTCCCTCTTTTGCTTGAGGCATCAAGGATTATTATCCTCCCAAAATGAAGATGGGATAGGGCTAATGTTGACTATTGCCTTCCTAAAGTATATGAAACACCCGTAAAGAATTAAATGTGCCATTCAGATAGGGTCCTTGAACCTTCTATGGCTTAGGAAGATGAAGATTCGTATATTTAAGTTACTTTGGCCATTTAAATTAGTTGCTCGCTTCTCTTGATAAGCTTTGCACTGACTCAAACTTTCATGTAAGGTATTCCTACCGGCAAAGAGTACAACAAGAATATATCAAGAATATGTTCTTTGAACTGATTCAATCATGCAATAAAACATATATTACTTTTTCCGATGGGAGAAACATTCATAACTTAATTCAACAAACACTTATTTTCATCTTTGGTATAAAGTTCAGATTATGTAGAATGTAAATAAAGATGGATAAAAAAAAAACCCAAAAAACTTAATGTACAGCTAAGTGATCAGCAAATATTAACTGCTTATTTGGTTCATGTGCAGATTTAGCAGCAAGCTCAATGCTTATTGGTGTCTTCTGTTTCTGCAGACCTGGGACAGAAACCAAAAACAATATGAGAATTAATGGCAGCAAATGATAGTGAGAACCACATAGCTGCATACCAATGTTTTTGAGATGTTTTTCACGCTTTGATGTAGAACTCAAGCTCTTATCCTGTACAGAGGAGTTCTTTTTAAATAAAAACAATTGTTATATCACTTCGAATTTCGCATAAAAGAATGCTCCAAAAACAGGAATAGCACAAAGAAACTACAGAAAATTACAGATGATAACTGGGTTTAGATTCAACAGACCTTAACAATAGGCTCTGTGATCTCACCATATCCAACAGAACGTTGAGCATGCCAACCCTGCATGGCACGAGCTGCAGCATCCCTGCGTGCCCTACCTGACGCTGAGGCTAGGTAGCCACTTGACTGCACAAAGAAACTCAGAAAACATTGGAAACAGAATGCTTTACCACAAACAGAGACAGGAAATACAAGATTAGTATAATTATTCAAATGATCATTAGTTTCATTGTATGAAATTCAGCATTGTTGCACATCAGCAATTTGAATGGAAGATGAAAATTCACAAAAGATATCCACACAGTTGTAAATATGAAGAAACAAAATCTACCTCCTTTTCACCACTTGGAAGAGGGAGAGAAGAAGCAGGAAGTTGAATCTCACCACTCTCCCTCTTATACTTTTCATATTCTAAAAGTGCCTGCACAACCATAAAAGGATCAGGAAATAGGAAACACAGCCTGAAATTATGCAGGTATTATTACCAAAAAAAGAGTGAATCAATGAACTTTCCTTTTTTATTTATTTGCTGGTGAGTAATAAGCATGACAGGAAAGACTTTTTACACTATAAAGCAGACAAACAGATTATAAGGAGAAATGCTGGCACTGTATCATTTTGCCTCATGTTTATTTATTTAGTTTGGTTTGGATAAGCCTGACTGGGAAATACTTGTTTCATTATAACACTGATTATATTGAGAAAAAATTACACTAGTTCCATTTTAATGGGTGAAGATAGGTTCCGGGCGGGGGCAGGCAGAACAACTTCTCTGTACAATATAGATATAAGAAGAGACTGTCATATCCATGTTATTCTAAAAGCACATGGTACACATGTAATTTTTATAAAGGTCTTGCCTGAAAATAACACCCAACTATGTTGCCAAAAGAAAGGGCATAGTATTGCAAGTTTTTTTAACTTAAAACATTTTAAATTTAATTAAATGTGTCAATTAAGGTGTGTATTGGGGGAATGATAAGTTTTGTCCAGTATGACCAGAAGGTCACAATCCCGTCAAGAAACAGTAATTCACATAGCAAGGGGATGGTTACGTGCATTTTGACCAATAGTCAACACTATGTGGAAGCTAGTTAATTGTCCCAGCTAAACAAGCACACCTTCTCATAAAAAATGCGGAATGTCCAAGAGACAGTTGTGCAGGTCCTGAGAGAAAGAAAGAAAGAGACACCAAGGTCAATCAAGAGAATAATAGGCTTTCATGAAAAGCATGCCCTAAAGTAATTTGTGTTGAGGTCAAGTGCAAGCCAAAGCCATTAAGATTGAGACATAACTTTGCACCAAAAAAACATGGAAAAAAAAATAACTGTCCACATTTCTACTTACTTTGGGGGGTGGAATGACTCTCCCACTTGCCGCCATAACTTCGAAGCAGTCACCTATTGGCATCCATAGCGTAAAAATAATTTATCATATCGATGGTGTAAATGCTTCAACTTCCATAATTGTGCATTACTTAAAAGCAGGTAATTTCCATTTCAAAACATAAGAAAACTCCCAACTCAACATTGTAAATCCAATAAAAAACACAAAAACCCAACTTTATCTTCTGCCAACCTTTAAATATTCACAAATTCATACCTAATAGGCCACAGCTCAGAATTTAGAGCAAAACATATAATAACCAGGCTTAAATTGTAAAAAATCAACAAATGCATAATTTTTTACCAATAAGTAATCCTAGAGGACATGAACTCTTATACTATGTGCGGAAACAAGGATTTGGGAGGCTAAATGTCGATTTGGTTTGTCACCTGTGAGGACTGAGGATAAGTGCATATTATATACATATATATATATATATATATATATATACATATATATATCGTTCCCTAAATCTCTAATTAAGTATCGAGGTTTGACTTGGCATGTAGATCAAGAAAAAAGTTATAACTTTAATGCTTCTTATATCATAAGATTAAAACTTTTTAATGAGATTGTTCAATGGCCTTTTAAAAGTTTTTAGAAAATTTGAAAAATTAATATAAAAATAAGAAGAAAAAGTTTGGGTGTTACAAGAAAGAAAGGACATGGTTTTGGGCCTTTGGGACATCCAAAGGAAAGATAGACATTTGACTCTTGACTAAGGAAGTTCATTTTATCTACATTTGAGTGAAATTACTTTTCCATCTTGGTAGTTAATATACATTACGCAAAATATCTGACAAATTTACAAATTTGAGTGAAATTATAAAACTTGGTATCTTTTATGAGTAGTATCATACAAAATCTATATCTTTCTTTTTTTCAAATGCAAGGTCCCAAATGCATCACTGATGACTTTGCAAATCATATGAGAATGTATAGAGTAATGGAGGTAATCTTTCCTATTTTTGCTACATGTGCACTTCCTATCTCATGTACTATGTTGCTCAAACTCAACCACTAGTGTTGGGATGAAAATGTATCTAGAAATCCAACTTGTCAATTCCCTCTTCTTTCTCCTGCTCTTCCTTCTCTTATCAGCCATCCCACCCCCAAACCTTAGCCATCATCTCTCTCTCATTCTTCCTTCTTGTCTTTCACTATAAGAGCTGCCATACTAGAGTTCGCCCAACAGCAATAGCTATGGGAGTTTCTACATTTAAAGCTTTGAAAGCCAAGATTGAGCTATTCCATCCAGCCAACAAGAGGAGCTATGACAATGACACAAAGACATATCCAAGTTACAAACAAACCCGGATAGTCTCATTAAAAAGCAAGCATGTTGACCGTGCAACATGTTCTCCAGAATCATCAACCATACTATTTTTGTATGGTCTGTGATGATTTCCATTCAACTTTGACCAGTCCCTGTCAAACTGAAGCACAATGAACCAAAAGCAAATTATCATCTACTTCAGAGAACTATTGACATAGTATTAGCATAAAATAAAATTACAGTTTACTTAATATTTCCACTTACCTCTAGATGTCCTGTGTTCATAAAATGGAAAAGAAAACTTATTCCTATTACCATATACAATATCTCATGAATCAACCTTCAGTTACGGACATCTTAAAGAATCATACTTATGTGCCAACCCATTTAAGACACAAGGTTAAAGATCAAGACTGGATATGACCTGTTTTAGTTGATAAATAGCCTGAAAAGGTTTCTAAAAATGGTAGCAAATCATCCACTCCGTGATCCAACTCCAAATGGAATAACCTGAAGCTTATGATATCCCAAATGCACAACCCAAATTTATCCACCCTTCAAATGTGCATGGCCGGTAGTATATTCATGGGCCTCTTTATACATGAAGATTTAATACCTCTCTAGAAGTCAATTAAGTAAGTGTATCATTAAATGCTTGCCCATGAATCACAAAATCACTTTATGAAGGATCCTAATTAAAGGAGTTCCCTTGCTCTAATATGTTTTAAAACATTCAACTTGGTACATTAAAAAATAAGACACACTGGAACACAACCCAATACTTTAGCACTAAAAAGTGGGTGTGATTATGCCCCATTAAAGAGGGGTTTAGAGAAAGTCAATTGAAAACACCCGTATCATACGTCATTTTTAACACAAAGCTCATATATCACAATATGGGTATGACAAATATGGATACGGCAAAATGGTAATTTTTGAAAAATGAGGATATGGCAATAAAAAACTTATATGTGATTTTTTCTCAGTAACTATTTCCTTTTCCGTCTGTCTTCTCTTATTATCAACTAAACTAAGACAAAAAATCAAATTGTCAAACTTGGCTTCACCAAGTAAATTAAAAGAGAGAGAGAAAGAGAGAGAAGGAGTCGCTTCATATTCCCTGGTCCTATTGTTGGATTCATGTCATACCTTTCAAACCATGATTACTGACATATTGTGTAAACATTAAAAAAATGTCATAGGTTAAAGAGTAGGATTATATTTTTCAATGGTATCACCTAATTTAACTATATCTATACTTCAATTCTTATTTCCTCCTTAATTCAGTAATATTTATTAAAAGATGCCCAAAACATGAACCCTAAATATACACGAAAGCGCACGTTTCTTCCAAGTGTTATATGGAATCTTGCTTGGATAGCATTGAAATTGGATCCTAAAGAACGTTTGTACATATAGGCCAAAAAAGAGAACTCATCAATTTTGTGCCCAAAATAGAAGCAATTATTTTATGGCATAATGGCAACTCTAGATATAGTATAATGCACATGTCATTGTCATGTTCATCCAAATTTCCAACTTTGGTGACTTCAATATGTATTCTTCTTTGTCTTCGGGAAGAGAGAGATAGAGAGTGAGAGAGAGAGAGAGTGCAACAAAAAGAAACATAACATATTAAATCATGAGGATTAGAACATACAGTTTTGTTATTGGCAGTGCCCTAGCAATCAGTATGTCTTTAATTACTAAAACAAGGCCCTGCTAGAATCTAATCTTGTTCACCTTCCTAAACAAGAAACAGATCCAAACCACTTTGCATGTTAATATTTGCAATCTTTTACTTTGAGACCTATTATATACAAAAGCAATTAACTAGGATAATGTTTTTAGACAAGAACCTTGAACCTCCAAAACAGAAAAATACATGCATTATTATATATATTAATAATTCAGATCGCATGTCACCTCTGACTTGTTAATGCCTGTTAGAAAACTTAGCATCTAGGAATAGCAAAAGGTGATTTAAGGGTTAGAAAAAAAGTTTAAAACATCAATGAAGGATTCCAGGATATGCATGCATACCACTTCATAGCCACCCAGTTTAATAACAGCTCTCCACAACCTACACCCAATGCGCGCACACACACACACACAAAAAGCACAAATTAGACTATGAAGTAAAGCAGCCTCATAACCAATAAAATCAATGATCAGTAGAAACCTACTTAAGGCAATTTAGTGGTTCTCCATAAAACTTAGGGGGCTTGAATTCCAAAGACCTGTCCTTATAGAAACTTTCCAGCTCCTTCATGAATGCTGCTCGCTCCTCCTGTGTTCCAGCTTCATCGGCCTCACCCATCTATATCCAAAACAACAAAACATTGAGTTAAAAAATGGGTAAACAGAACAATTGACACTTTCATGTTTAAGCCACAATTTATTAGGCATTTTTTATGTACCTCAGGATCTAGCAACCAACTCTTTGATTTCTCCACATGTTCAGGACCAGATTTAGGTGTAAAAGATTCTGGACAAGGAAGGGGAACAGATTCTGCATTGTTTTTCTTCTCTAGCAATTGGCCAGGAGAAGCATCGCAAGAATTTGTATTAGGATCATTGGAAGATTTGTTATCAGGTTTATCGGGCAAAGCTGGATTATCACTCATATTAACATCTGTGGGCAAGGTTAGAGTGTTATCATCAGCTGTCCCAGAATCAGGTGAATGCCTAGTTTCAGTGGTATGATGATCCTCAGTGAGGTGTGAGGACTGTTGCTGTTGGACGCCAGTATCAACAAGGTTAACTTGGGAAGCCTCTGGTAATTGCTGTTCCAACATTTCGGTATCTTCCATCTTGCTTATACAGATTCTGCAGTCTAAGAAAAAGGTTGTATTAATGCATTTTTCAATTAACAAGATTGTCAACAGCAATGGTTGGTAATGTGCGAAAAGCTCAGTTGTCAAATACTGCAGATTTTCTTCTGGAGGATAGCTACTAAAAGATGTTCATATAAAATGGTGAGAAATCAAACCCTAAATCCAAGTTGGTTGGTCAGAATTATATATATATATATATATATTTATATAAAGTATAAACCAAGTACTAAATCAAAAGACAAGAAAATAATGAGCCATTTTGCTGTGTTGTTGTCCAAAGGCAAATAGGCAGAGAGGACATTTTAAGTGTATATATGAAAGAAAAGAAGACATAAAAATGGAAAATATGTAACCAAAGAAGACATCTGAAAATGCGTTAAAAGAAAAGAAGAGAGCAAAATCAGTGCATCTTAATTTACAGTAAATAAAATAAAGTAAAAGTATTGGTTGTGGGAAAAGAGAAGAAGAAACCTACCTGCAGTGAAGAAGCGGAGGAGAGGATTATCGTTAGGGCTTTGTGTAAGAAAGAGACAATGCAAAACAATTAATAGGGAGCAGCCTCTTCTTAATTCTTATCCGACTAACATAGAAAGTGTCATTCATGGCAGGGCGAGGCAGTTACACTCTGGCCGGCCCGGGAATAGGATTCGGATTTTTTCTGCTTCTGCCTGCCAACTAAGCCTCCAAATCCAACTCTGTTTCCTTTTTTAACACCGCTGGCTGGTTTTTTTTCCTTTTTTTTTTTCTTAATTAGGAGTCATAATCACTGTAATAAAAATGAACCCAAAAGAAAAAAAAAATCCAAACTCCAAAGAGCGCAAAACCCCCGGTGGTCTGCTGCCTTTTTTTTTTTTTCTTAATTAGCCTTAAGCACGCTGCAGATGCACCTCGCCCCCAAGGCAGCACCCAGCCAACTCCTCTCTTTCTTTCCGCAAAAACTTAACTGAACCCAAAGTCCCAATCCATATCTATACTCTTCTCCAAGCCCATTTCAGCCCACCCTCTATGGGGCGGACCAAATCCAACAGAAATCCCTTCTTCCCATACCTATCCCCTCTCCTCGTACTGCCGTGCTCTACAAACAATTCAATTTCTTAAATAAATTTAGCAAAGTGGGTCTTAATTTAATTTAAGCTCATCATGTCAGTGTCGTGTGTATATCTAATTTACCTTTGAGCGATGGAATGCATGCCAGCAACAGGCACGTGGGGATTTAATTTGCATGACACTACTCACTACTTCTTAGGGAAACCAATTGCACCACAGAAACAGATTCCTTTTTTGTTTTCGCCTTGCTGCTGATCATCATGAATTCATAACGCATACATTATCAAACTACATTTGGGGGAGAATAATTATATATTAGCTATCTAACGACATTTTTCTTCTGTTTGGTTTGATTTGATTTGATTCAACAAGAGGAGACTGGAACTGAAAGGTAACTTAATTAATTTCTGATTAATTTCTGCATGCTTGCGTTGGTCTTAATCTTCCTTGCCCATCCTACCAACAAATGATCACCTCTATCTATTACTCAAACCCATATATATCTAGCTATCTCGATTAGAGAACAAAGGCGCATTTGCACCTTAATTAATTAAGAAATCAATTGTTCTATTTCATTTATCGGTTGTAGGACATGGATCCAATCAATTCACCGGCTTATTTCACTTGTATATTTTGTATGTAAGTATATTTAAACAGGAGCCTATAGATCAGTTAATTTCTTAATTTCCAGGTTATAGAATAAACAAACATTAATATTGTGATGGCGCTGCTGGATCTTTTTGTTGCTGCTTCAATACCGGTGTTGAAAGTGCTAATGATAACGGCACTTGGCTTATATCTTGCTCTAGATCACGTCAATATCTTGGGGGAAGAGACTAGGAAGCATATGAACAATGTAAGTGCTTAATCCTGCTCCTGGCTGCCTGACTCTCTTGCACACACTTCATTTAGATCTTCTTCCCCTTAAATATTAGCAGTTGTTACCTTGTTACATGCATAACTATATATGTAGTTAACTAAGGCTTACCAACGGGTAACTTTATATATATATATATATATATAACTTTATATATATATATATATATATATATATATACACACACACATATTGGCCAACAAGCTTATTCATTGTTCATGTGAAAAAGTATCCTAGGATTAATTAGGAAAGTACATTTCCCAAATTGTGCACTTATATATACAAATATACACGCACACGCACACTTGATCAGTCACTGAGGACAATATTATCTTTTGAGAACAGGTAGTGTTTTACGTATTTAATCCAGCTCTTGTAGCCAGCAACCTTGCTGAAACAATTACGTATGAAAGCATGGTCAAGCTGTGAGTGAAACTTTTCTACCCACTCTTTCTGTTCATTTAACAGTGATGCAAAGTTACAACTGCATGCAGCTCTTTCAATGTTCTCAATTTATTTATTTATTTTTTTTGGTCCAACATATTTCTAGGTGGTTCATGCCATTCAATGTCCTGCTCACATTTGTTATTGGTTCCTTACTTGGATGGATAGTCATCCAATTTACAAGACCTCCGTTGCATTTGCGAGGGCTCATTTTAGGTTGTTGTGCCGCAGGTATACACAATTATATATAAATTTAGATGCCAATAGTAAATAATTACTCTTCCTTAATTTTCTGATCGATTAAATCCATTTCGAAATGCATTCATTTAAATGAAATATTGAAATTGAACATCAATGAGACTGGCATCATTGATATATGAAAATCATACTACTAATTGAACATCAAATATGAATGATAATAACAATTCATCACAATTAAGGCGATCCTTGCTTCTCTCAAGGATCGTGACTGAATTCAACTCCTTGTTGGCTCTCTTGTGAACGACTTTGGGTTAGTCTATGATGCAAGGTGAAGTAAATTGCCTTGCTCAACTTAAATAAACTTTCTCCAATACAATAGTAAAGCCTTTTCAACCTAGACATTCAGAGGGTTGGTCTGATAACAAGTGGAGTCATTGGCATTAGCTCAGCTACAACAAACTTAGTTTGAACTATTTGAACATTTTCAGTGCAAATGCAAACGAATAAATAGGAATTTTCCTCTAGAAATCTCTAGCGAAAAGGCTTTTGTAAAAGTTTCTTTCTGCAGTCTGTAAATCCATTACTCCATACAACATAGACGAATTGGTCACATCCATAGTTCTTGTTTGATTGAAATTTATTATTCCTGATATTCGTTCTTATGATATTTCTAATTTACTTTTGACATTATGTGAACAGGGAATATGGGGAACATGCTCCTTATTATAATCCCAGCTGTTTGCAAAGAAAAAGGAAGCCCATTTGGATCTCCTGATGCGTGTCATTCATACGGAATGGGTTATGTTTCACTTTCAATGGCGGTAGGTTCCTTTTTAAGTCTACTGGGTTTGAGAGAAAAGAATGTGTGGGTGTAATCCCATCAAGGAAAAAACTTTCAAATTTTTTAGTTCCCTGCAAGAAGTACACGTATATATTTATATGACTATAGGGACTTGATAATGTTTGGAAATTGCTTGTTTTGACACTTTAGCTTGGAGCCATTTATTTGTGGTCTTATGTCTTCAATATCGTCCGAATATATTCAATCGGGAGCATCAACGAATCCTTTGCAAACGATTCCTCTACCGGCAAGTATTCTAGAGAAGCATCCACATCAGAGCAGGGGAGTTGCACTGAGCCACTACTTTCTTCCAAGGATCTCTTGATATCTGAAGAGAACGAGAAGGGATATGTGCTGCCTCGCACAAGTTCTAAGGGGAAAGCTGAGGTTGTTCACTTTGTAAAACTACCTATTATCTTTTGGCTTTATTAGTTCCATGGCCTCTTACATCCTCTGTATCGGACATGTTCACAGCTTTTCTAAGAATATTTCATGTTTTTATGAATGTCTACGCAGCCTGGTTTACATGGTAATAGCAGGACAGATTCCTCTTGTAAAAGCAAGGACACCTAGCCTTTTTTTTTTGTTAAATTTAACTGAAAGGATGGGGTACTTTATATTAGGATGCTATTTTGAGCTTTTATCCTATTTAGCTATATTGTTACAAGCAAATAGACTGGCTGTCTTTTTTAATTATCTTGGCATCCTCACAAGGAGAAAAAAATCATCAAGAGAGTAAAATTAGCTGAGCTGTCGTCCTGTATTACTGATAGTTTTGTAGCAGAGTATTTAAGTCAATTACATTTCATAACCACCGTAGTTAGTAGTCTACATAGTTTTTCAGTGCTCTTTGAAATTGAAATCAAGTTTACATGTTAAAGCATTTTAATCGAAACACTGATTGAGATATGATTTTTAATATTTGAGTTTTTGGAATCTCGTGGCAGGCAATATTTTCAAGTAAAATAAAGCAACAACTAAGTTTGCTGATTTCGAAGATTAATTTGGCATCACTTTTTGCCCCTTCAACAACTGGAGTGGTATGATCTTCTTTTTATGTTCTTCATTTACCACTTTCACTTACTGGAACCAAAGGAGAATGTTGTTCTCCCAGCCATATTGTGTTTTTCATATTTTGGTGCTGAATTTAGCTAAGATTAGTTAGATTTAGATGGATATCCATGTAATGGATCTTTCATAAAGAATCTAAAAAGCGAAGACCAATGGAAGAAAGCAATACACTTCCCAGTCATCTGGACTGGTCCTGCTGGAGGGATTAGGTATCTTTAAAGGGAGGATGCTTTTACACGGCCATGAAGCACAAGATCTACTTTTCATTATGGAGATCAATACAGGTTCTGAATGGAAATACATTCATAACATATGGATGAACTGCGTTTAATGGAAAAATTAAGTTGTGGCAAATTTTAAGTATGAATTGAGGTTCCAAATTGTAATGTAAGATTCATGCTGTCTTGTTGTCCTCTTTACTCGTTTGTCTCATTGACTGACCTGTGCACTCTTCTCTTGTATAGATTGTTGGATTTGTCATTGGACTCGTCCCTCAGATCCGAAAATCAATGATAGGTGACGGTGCTCCTCTTCGTGCGATTCAGGACTCTGTTTCTTTAGTGGGGTATGGCTTCATATCACTGTTTTGTTTACAAAATAACCAGGATTCCAGCCATTTGCACTTGGAAGACTCGTCAAACAACATTTCTTTTATTTTCTGTATATGAGAAATACAATTTTATTGGAATCAAAGTACATGCAGTTCTAAAAATTGGTTAATGGAATGTGGGCTGTCTTCTAGCCACACAGCTTCATCACTAATGGATAACCCATCAAACAACATGGTTCCTTAAAAGAGGATGTTTACAAGTAAAATACATTTGACAGCATAGAAATAGACTTGGACCAAACAGATACATGGTGATGTACATGGGTCCTTAAGTTGACTGGTTAGGTTCAATCACTTTGATGTCGTAGACCGACTCCTCTACCTGATGTCTACATGCTTGGTTTCAACTTTCAATCCTCGGTTAATTTGATGGCACTGTAGTTTTCATTTTAATTTATTAAAAGGAAAGGTCATTAGTACAAGGTGGCATTGTGCAGCAACCTCTGCAAATCAGTCATCTTCAATCAATTCTGACTGTATAAATGGTGACATTTTGCATCTCCTTTCTGATTATTATGATTAACCATTTCCATATGTTTAGATCTTGGGGCTATTATCTACCCGACTCTCTGTTCTTCTTCACAAGAATTAATCAAACCATATTTATACTGTATCACCTCTCTCAAACTTTTGCTCATCTTTTTACTCGTGGTAGATCTTTGAACATTTTTTTTTCCTTTTCCATGCCATTTAGCTTATTAGTTTATGTTTCCGAATGCAGAGATGGAGCCATCCCAACTATCACCCTGATTGTGGGAGGTAATCTTCTCAAAGGTACTAGCTGATATAGGTTGATTCTTCTTTTTTTTCTTTTTTTTGGAATGCTTTTCTTGGTTAAGCTACCTCTGTTGAATATACTTTCATGATGGTGACTGGCAACGGATGGCTTTGCAGGACTAAGAGGGTCAGGAATTCACAATTCTATCATATTTGGCATCGTTGTTGCTCGTTATATTGCTCTGCCTCTCATTGGTGTTGTCATTGTTAAAGGGGCTGCTCGATTTGGTTTTGTACACGCTGATGCACTATATCAATTTGTTCTTCTTCTTCAGTTTGCCGTTCCACCTGCAATGAACATAGGTATCCTAGATGCATCTATATATTTTAAACACAAAATGTCCTTGTGCTTCATAATTTGCCAGATTATTGGCTCGTTCACATGAAAAAGGATCTCTTACTAGCCGGACTCAATGACGAGGGAATTAGAGAAAAGACTCATAGTTCCAGTGTATTTGCACCTGTGATCAAATTCATAACAATGAGAGAAAAGACTCATAGTTTCCAGTGTATTTCTTCTTCGTTCCAGGTTAGGTTAGACGCAAAATTTTCTCTGGTTCTAAATAATGATTATTATTTTTTTTTAATTCTTGCCAGGTACAATTACTCAATTATTTAGAGCAGGTGAGAGTGAATGTTCTGTAATCATGTTCTGGACTTACGCCTTGGCCTCAATTTCGCTTACCTTATGGACAACATTATTCATGTGGTTAGTGGCTTGAATTCTGCCACAACACTTCCAGGAGAATTTATAGTTGCTTTGCAGGGAAAAAACCCGCAAAGGATGCTGTAAATGCTGCTGCTGCTGCTTCTTCTTTTTTTTTTTTGATAAAATAACAGATTCCAACTCTGGATAATTAATGTTTCGCTTTTCAAAAAAATAATAAAATTGATAATTCAAGTTAATATGTAATAGGTTACAGCGTGCTAGATGGGATGGATTAGGCCTATCTTCATATTAACACTACCGGTTGAACGAGTATACCAAAAAAAAAAAAAATCCACAGTTAAAAGTTGTGCTAGTAAAATGTTTCATTAGACATCAATAGAAGTAAACTTCGGGAAACAAAGAATTCACTAGATACTACTGCTACTAGTATGCTTGAGAGAAGCGGATAGGTTTCTATTACGGAACTCCTGTTAGCTGTTCAAAGATAGGCCTTGTTCAAATCGGCAAAGTAAGGATGTTCCATAGCTTTTTTGGCTGAAATTCGCTTTGAGGGATCATACTGCAACATATGCTGCACCAACATAACATTTCAACTATCAGCTATTGTGAATAGGAGGATGGTTTCAAATCGTGTAATTAGATAAGGCGATAGAAAAGCCAGAGTTACTGATAAGAGATGTAGCCCATCACTATCCAAGTTAGAAACAGCTGATGACAGACTCTGAGGGTTCCATTGGGGGTACTCATGCCAGTTTGGTAGTGAGCTGACTCCCGGCCACACTTGTTCATTTGGAGTACCCAATAACCTGCATGGATGATATTAGAAACTAGAAAGTATTTGATCAAAGTGGGGGAGGGGGGATGTAGAAACAGAGGCCTAATGGACCTGAAAATATGAAGAAGCTGTTGCAGTTCAGAATCTCCGGGAAACAGGGCTTGTTTGGTGACCAGCTCAGCTAGAAAAAAACAAAGAGAAAAGAATAAAGACGTTGTTTAGCAGATCAAGTAGTACGAATATGATTAAAGAAGAGAGAAAAAACTAGATATGGCAGAACGTATGTGCATATATAGTAGTAGTAGTAGTAGTAGTAGTAGTACCAAATATACAGGCGACAGACCACATATCCACAGCAGTTGAATAATGAGTAGCCCCCAAAAGGACTTCAGGTGCTCTATACCACAGGGTCAGTATCTGAAAAAGATTTGCTAATTAAATAAAATTAGTGAAAGAGGTAGGAGATAGACGATTGCAGGAAATAGTAGCGGTAAAATAAGAGTATGTATGTGAGTGTGAGTAACCTCGTGAGTGTACTTCTTAATGGGAAGTGTATAAGCTCGGGCTAGGCCAAGATCAGCTATTTTAAGCGTCATGGTCTTTCTATCCATGAGGAGATTGTGAGGCTTAAGGTCCCTGAGTTAATGGAAGGGAAAAGAAAGAAGTACTAGTTATTGAACATCAAATGAAATGGGTTTCAGTGGTCTAAAAAGAAAAGAGAAAAGGGGAAGGGAACCTGTGTAAAACTCCATGGCCGTGGCAGAAGGCAACGCCTTTGCAAAGTTGATACATCAAGCTCTGTCGTTGAACATAGATGTTGCTCATGAATGAATAAAGAACAAACTGAATGTTTAGTTACTCAAAATACCAAGTAATGGTAAGAAAGAATTAAGGAAAAGAGACCTTGACGGTGTTAACAGGAATGTGGTCTCCAGATTGGCGAAAAGAGCGGATGAATTTCTTGAGATCAGTGTCCATGTACTCAAAAACCAAGTAGAGAACCGTCTTTCCTTCTTTGTTCTGCCCTTGCTTCACATCCATCAATCTGAATATGAATATTAGATCTAATTAAAAATTGAATTAGCATTACAACAAGAACACGTGGTGGGAGTTAAAGAAAGACCTGACAACATGGGGATCCCGAGAGAGCATGCGCAAGATGGAGACCTCGCGGAGAGTGGTGGGAGGAACGCCTTCATCGTCCTCGTGGAGACGAGTCTTCTTTAGGGCTACGATCTTTCCAGTCGCTCTCTCTCTTGCTCTGTACACCTTTCCGTATGTTCCCTCTCCCACCTTCTCCAGCTTCTCAAATGCCTCCATTGCTGACGATCCCACTATCTGCCTTTGCTTCTCCATTTCTTTGATTCTCTCAACTCAAAACCCAACCCCTCGTTCTCTTTTCTTCTTTCTTCTTCTGTTCTCTCAAAACACTCGTCAGGTTTATTTATTTATTTATACAACCGTTCAGTCCGTTCCTTTGGAAATCAAAATAATAAATAATAAAGGAAAAAAGTCGTTGCCCCAACGGAAACTTTTGAATTTCAAATTCCCCGACAACGCGCCTCAGGCCCAGGCCCCAATGACCTGACCGAGGGAGGACTGAGGAGAGGTTTTTTTTATTAACTAATCCATCTCCAGCCCAACTTTCACTGCAAGCCTGGGCTTGCCCATCAGTGCTCTTAAAGTAATTAATCTTACCCAAACTTACAAAAACTGAAAGGCTCCTTTCTCGAGTCAAAATCACTATACTACTTTTTTTATTCCATTTTTTCTACTAGTAAATAAAAAAAAAAGATTACAAAGGAGTATAAAAAATATATATGTATAAAGGATTACAAAGTTATATATCTATAAATGTACAAGTGGAGGACGAAAAACAAGAGAGAGAAGAAAGTGAAGAGATAGAATGAGTAAAAAAAGTAAAAAAGAAATGAATTGACTTCTTCGAGCTTAGATATAATGAGGCTTTAAATAGAAATTTTTTTTAACGTATGAATAGTAACTTTTTACAGTTATCGCTATAATGTATAGTAAAATTTTTATCTATAGTATCGCTACAATGACTTGCTACAGTGTCTTCTGTAGTAGGTATCTTATTTTTTTTGCTATAGTGACGTTTTATCTGTCAACTACAGTGACTGCTACAGTGTTTTTTGTCTGCTAGTCGTTGGCGTCGAATATAGTTTGTCTTTTAGTGTCGGCTGTTTGTTCTGGCTTATCCTGGATTAGAATATGTACAGTTTTATCCTTCCTTAGCATTGTTTAAGTTATGAAATTCTTCATCCAGTATGTTAAGGGACTGGGGGACTGAAGAGATCTAAAATGTGATTTATTCCACATTTGCCATCCTTCTTGATATTAGTATAGTAATTCAGTCGGATGATCTAGATCTTTCATTTTTGATAATTTTTTCAGGAGCTTAATTGCTTCTGGAGCATTTTGTATATCAAGATCTTCATGTGGTTTAAGAAATTTGATAACAAAAATTTGTCGATCATCTTTTCAGCAAGCTATTTTTGGATAGTCTGGTTTGATGGCTAAATGGAGAAAGAATTTTACTTTTTACATAAGATCAGTTCCTGTTTGGAAATGATAACTGTTTGGGTTGGTGTATTTAGTGATGATTTTGTTTAAATCATCTGAGAACTCGATATGGTCTATAGGTGGATCAAGTATATTTAGGGGCTGAAGAAAATATCCACCAAATATTCTATCAAATTCTCATATTTGATAAGGTTGGTAAAATCTTTCTCTTTGAAAGGTACCCAAAAAACTATATATGGTAAAATGAATGTAGTAAAAGTGTTTTGATCTTTTTACACATTCAATAAAGCGATATTTTATAAAAGCTGAAAAATCTTTTAAAAAGTGAAAAGAAAAGTTTTGTACAGTTATTTGTCCAACTAAACCAAATTCAATACTTTTTACATCAAAGGTTTCATAGTTGAGTCGAAACTTAAGTTTAGGTATATATTTACCGAAAACAGTATTATACATATACGTAAAAGTATAATAATCATAAAATTTTTCTATCAACAGGTTTTCTGTTGATTGTAAAATAGAAGAATTAATTTGTTGGAATAATTTTTTGGTTAAAAATACTGTAGCTTTTTCAAAAAGAAGAATTCTCTTAAGCTTGTTTAGCTTAGAAGAAACATAATTTTCTTTTTCAAAATATTCACATAAATTCAAGAAATTATTTATTTCTTGAAGATTGTACTGATTTTCTTCCAAAGCAAAAAAATCAATATCTTGTTGTTTTAGCAGATTTGTTGATAGAAGGTTTTGGAAAACTATTTCTTTAAAATTCTGAAATTACTTAGCCTGGTTGAACTCAGCTAATTTGATCATCCCTTTTTGAAAGCTGAATTTATTTTCTGAGAGATGGGATTTTCAAATATTGTTTAACAAACTGTAGACTTGTGGTTCAAGTCCAGGATTGTAAAAATCTTTAATCTCTGGGTTAGAGATTTTTGTTCTTTCAAGCAGTTGTTTTGCTGAAGAAACTATTTGAGAGTAATTCATGGGTGTCCATTAGTTTGGATTTTGAGTGAATTGAGAGAATTTTGGTTGAATCCTCATGAAATGAGGTCTGTAAAGTGGTTGTTTGTAAAGATATAATCCTTGGTTAGGATTAGTATAAAAGTTAAATCTTGGGTTAGGATTTGTAGAGATCGGAGGTCTTGGAGAAGAAGGAGTAGAAGAGAAAGAGGAAGAGTAAGAGGGTTTTTTACTGTCTTCTTCTTGATTGTTCTCCACCCACCTGTGTCATGGACTGGTTATTTTCCTTGATCCATGTGATCGATTTAGATAATCTGTAAGGAGGTTTTTATTTTCGTTGATGAACTCTACCTGAAAATGATAAGAATAAAAAAAATTCTACCACCTAATTCACTTGGGATTATCAGAAAACTTTTTATTTTAGAGAAAGTTTTTAACTGCTTGGTTATCTGTTCTGATAACAAAGATCTCTGTGGCTAAATAGATGTGAAAACGGTGTACACCATTTTTTATGGCTAATAATTTTTTTTCAAAGATAATATAATTTATTTCGTTCGGTTTGAATTTACCGAAATTGTAGCCACAAATTAATTCATCTTTTTTATGTAGATTTTTAGCTTTTAAGACACATCCCCAATGTTCATCACTGGCATCTGTCTCTAAAATAAATAAATCACCTTATTTAGACAGATAGACTTTAGGTATAGTGGTTTAAATCTGATTTGATCTGTTTGATAATATCAAAATCGTTAGGTGTCCAGACAAAATCATTATCTTTTTGTAATTTAAGCAAAATATAGCTTTCCTTTTTGGAAAGATTTTCAAAAAATTACCTGTCATAATTAAGTATACCTAAAAGCTGTTGTAGCTGTTTGACATTATCTAGTTGTTCTGAAAACTCCTTGATCTTGGATATAATGTGATCCTACAATGTTAGTCCATTTGCAGATAGATTAAGACAAAAAAATTCAATTTTTATTTTTTCGAGTTCAACCTTTTTGGGACTCAAAATAATACCATGTAAAATAAATTCTTGAGCTATAAGATTAAGATGTTTCCTGTACTCATCTAAAGTATTTAAAAATACTAAAATATCATCAATATAAACACAGCAAAATTGTTTATGTTTGCTAAAAATACTATCCATCCAATGCTGAAAAATTTAAGGGGTGTTGCATAGATCGAAAGTCATAACAGTCTATTGGTAATGACCTGCTGGTGCACTAAAAGCAATTAAAGGTTTAGAAATATTATTTAGCATGATTTGCCAAAAGCTTGATTTACAATCAAATTTTAAAAAATATTTAGCATTTTTTGCTAAATTAATTAAAACATCTTTATGAGGGATAAAATAGCCATCAAAAATAAGATTTTGGTTTAATTTCTTATAATTAATAACCATACAGGGTTTACCTCATTTAATCTCAAAATAGTTTCTTACTAAAAATGCTGGATTAAAGTGCTGGCTGGTAGTTGGTTCTATCAGACCTTTGTCGAGTAATTCTAAAATTTGTATTTCAAATTCATCTATATCCTGTTTGGTATAGATCATGGGCTTTACTCTAATAATCTCTTTTGGAGAATGAAAAATAAGTTCACAGTATCTGGAACTACGCTTCCAAAGCTTCAATGGGTCTTTACTGAAGTTTTCCTGTAAAATCTTATAAAGTCAATGTTTTTCATTAATAGCTTTAAGTTCAAAAATATGTGTTATTTCTGGATGAAAACCATTATCACAAACATGATTATGTTTGGATAAAAGAGGAACATTTATTGATTTTTTATCAATAGTAAAAGTAAGATAATAAGGGAAAACAGAAAATGATAAATATTTATGTATAAAATTATTTTCTAACAGAATGTCTCCATGCATATTAAGAAAACATAATATTTTAGGTATAATAAATTTCTTATCGTTTAAGGCAACAGGAATATTTTTTGCCTTTAGATTAATAATGATTTTTTTACCATCGATACCTACTATTATTATAGGATGCTTCATAAGTTACCATTTTGTTGAAGGCAAAGCATCAGGTCGACAGCTTGAGATTGTTGCTCTTGTATCAATCAAAATATTTAAACTATATGGTTTATAGTTTGAAAAATAAAAATATCTTTTTATATAAGTATAACAACGAACTTTTTTAGCAAAAGAAATTATTTCTGGCACGTTTTGTGCAGAGATACGATAATTATTTATATAATTAAATATTTTAATATCTTCATTTCTAGTTTTTATAAAAGAATAGGTGTGTGAGTTGATCACAGAATTGATAGAATGATAATAGGTTTGGTTATCACCTGTACCTTGCTGAGATGAATTATCTCCTGCAAAAATAAAGATTTGAGCATTATTAATATTACCTGATTGACGCATACAATTTGCTTATCTTAGGGCTTCTGTATTGTTTGTACTATGAAAACCTGAAAAAAAAACTTCAGTAAGGAGTATAAAAAGATTGATTACTTGTTATACTCTCGTTATCATCATCTTGTTGATGATCAAAAGCATTTAGAGGAGGTAAAACCAAGTTTTGATTAAAACTGGTTGATGTATCTGGATTTTTAAGATAAATTTTTTTTCCTAATGAGAAAAATTCTGAACTTGGTACTTTTTATTTTTCAAAAGTATTTGAAAGATCTTTGAGACACCATCCATTTGGGATTGATAAGTCTGCGAGATTTACTAGTTTTGGTTTAATTTCTGAATCAAAATTATTTGGTTCAAAAATTTCAAAAATATTAGAATCTATTGATTTGATAGAAGTATTGGTAGTATTTGTAAATTCATAAACCGCTGACCAGTTGATTGTAAGATCATGCGAAGTAGATTCAAAATTAGAATTGGTTATTTTGATTCGAAGGAATAAACATTTTTTAATGTTTTCATCAAAAACAGAAATAAAATAATTTGATTTAACTTTAAATAAAACTACTCCTGCTGCTAGATTAGATTGGATTGCACAAATTACAGCATTAGCAGGGTTTTGAAAATGATGATCCATTAAAACAGCTATTATAGGAATATCTTTTATGGATAAAAATAATGGTTTAATGGTGATCAAAATCATTCCTATATGGATGTATGTATAAAGGATTACAAAGCTATATGTCTATAAATTTACAAATGGAGGACGATAAATAAGAGA